GAATTTCAAAAATGGCTGCAGGAGCTTACTGTCTCATACAGCGCCACAGCTCAACTTCAGCATGACGTATAAAGTAGCCGTTGAGTTCTAAATGGGAATTAAAATAATTTGTCGTCGCGGTTTCGGTTCGCAGACGACGCAAATTTTGGCGATTTCACGTTGTTGTTTTGCATAGGACGGTTAAGAAATGTACAAAGTTTCAAAACGCACGTGCTGAGCTATTGCTCTGCAAATTAGATCTCTTGTTTTTCCACGTCCTCGTTGCCGTCGCCGTCGTGGTTTCTTAAGGTCCCTGTTAAAACTAGACGCATAGCTGCGTGAACTCGGGCTTTCAATATGGCACTTCTGAAGTTATCTTTAGGGGACTGCCATATTGCCATTGATACTGTCGTCATACAATTTCCTCATTGCTGGTCACGAATAAGTCTACTTGTGTGTGTGTGTGTTTTTTTTTTGTCTACTGGAGTGTAATGAATGCTGTTATGGTGCTAGACAACAATCAAAGTAGTATTACTATATAGGAGTAGGTTCCTTGAATTTCAACCTTTGGCATCTGTAAGACTTTTCAATGACTTTGTAGGTTAAGTGTTAGAAAATTGGCGATCACTTTTGGAAAGCTTTGCATAAGCAATTTTAAAATTATTATTATTTCTCAGCTTTTCCATGTAAGTACTGTAATTTTCAACTTGAAAATCGCTAAAGAAAAAGCATTGCAAAAATCGATGCCCTGGAACAAAGTACTATCTGAAGATCAGTCGGGGATTTTATTGACCTCGTGAAAAGAAAAAAAGGAATTAAGAAAGGGTGCAGAGATGACCAATTTTCATTTTCGACATTTTGTTAGACAGGGTGTATTAGGAAATCCCGGAAAGTCCTAGTATTTTATTTTGACATTTTCGGGACTGGAAAAATGACTACAGGTCCTGGAAAGTCCTCGAAATCTGCTCAACTCAAGGAATGAAGTTTTCAGGATTTACGTTATGCTATAATAAAGTACTGCTCAGGGCCGTAGCCAGACTTCAGAACAAGACGAGGCAAGTTTCGGGTCTGGCATGCCTCCCCCAGAAAATTTTGAAATCTAGAGGCTCAGAAATGCTCTCTCAAGCATTTTCCGTGGCACTTCTCTTTAGAAAAGTCAATCTTGGGCAAGTGTGGAAGTTCACTTTTTTATTGCCGAGCGATACTGGTGCAAACAAGAAAAAAAGGAAAAGACAAAATCAAGACGAGGCAATTGCCTCGTGTTGCCTCATTCCAGCTACGGCCCTGCACTTCCGAAGCATATGCAGACCGTTAGAAGAGTTTATTTTTAAATCTCGGGAATGAAAGAGTTTAAGGTGGAATTTGGAGTCCTAGAAAAGTCAGTCTGAGTCCTGGAAAAATCCCTGAAATCTGTTCCAGAAAAAGGGTAAAAACCTGTTAGACCGTTTCGATTTCTTTTGTTTCAGTTTTTTGGACACACATTCAATAAATTTGCCTCACGGTCGTGTAAAAAAATATTAAGAATAAATAGATACTGATGAGAATATCTTTGTTCATGTTCTGGAAAAGGTTAAACGCTCTAATTAGTTGTTACGTTTTTATTCCAGGTCAAAGAATTGCGAGAGAAACTTCACAGAAGACGAATGAAAACATCACAAGCCTCTGAAAGGTGCTCAACGATATTTTAATGTGACGGGTAGAATATTACATGCATTTTGAGTGGTTGTTACCCATGATGGTATATATTTGATGAACGAATGAAGTCCTCATCGGCAATATATCGTTTGTTAAATAATAAACTGATTGCATTACACTAAGGACTTCCCTTATGCAATTTTCAACATTTTCGTAAATCATCTGTAAACATTTACAGGGCAGAACATGGCAAAACTTATGGTATTAATGGAACTGATACTGGTTATCTTTGCATGACTAGATATTAGCCTGCAATACAGGTATCTTTTGACGAGAGATCACTCCCTATTTCTTTGTGAAAAGTTAAAACGGCATCGGAGAAAAGGATGGGAAGAGAAAGAAATTTTTCTTCCCCCCCCCCCCACAAAAGAACCGTGGGGGCAGACGATAGGCAAGCATGTAACGCTAATTTGCCCCTCC